CCAAAGAATTTTACACAAGATAGGCGAGTATATGACTAACACATGTCCGAATTATACAAGTTTGACTGTGTGTATATAAATCTTTATATAGATATTTAAAATAACAATTTTTAACTTTCAGCCAACATGAAAGCATTGCTCACTAATGCAGACCCAGCCGCCCTGGAGCCAGACGACCTCTACAACATGTTTGAGGCCAGCTTCAGCGATGAGGGCTCTAATGCTCGAGTACAAGAAGAGGCAGCCATCTTTTCATGGATGATGTTCCTCCAAGATTGTGCAAGCAATAGTAAGCATAAAATTTCACATCCTTTTTGCTTGCCGTCATCCCACTGTTTTATTTTTACACGCTCTGTCCACTTTTACTGCTGTATATACTAGACGTGATACGGCCATGATGCCGAGGCACGCCGAGGATTGACACTTTGTGTCTTCCAATCACAGTCTACGCCGCACCTCTCTATTATAACTTCTAGGTATAACACCATTAGAGCACCAAATCGCCGATCTCAGGAACTGGGGCATTCTGCTATGTTAGAACAGTTTCCTACGATAGAGGTTGCCATAAATACGAAAATAACACGCTGTTTTATAGCGCACTGTGCTACATCCTTCTGTTGCAATTTTATAACCATTGTATCTGTTTTGTTCATGAATATTAAATTCTAATCTTTTTGATTCAGCTAATCTGGAGCATGACTGAGCGATTTTTGTTACTGTTTTATAATCTACAATTCCTAGAATATCGTCCATATATAATCATTAATTGTCATCTTCTAAAACTACAGACCATCCGCTGACCGCTGTGCAGACGTGCGCCGGGCCTCGAATTTGGCGCACGTCTCCACTGCGGACAGCGCTTCATACTTGAACATCCCCGCGGTTGCGTGCGCATATCCCTCGGAACTGCGCGTCTCATCCGCGCGCTGCGCTTGGGATCAACAGCAAAGCTGTGCCACGCAATCTTGTATCATGTCTCTCTGGTTAAATCACATCATAATTTTACTGTATGCATTATTGCAGTTGGAAAGTGCAAGCTTGAAGATGTGCTTGCATTTGTAACTGGTGCCAGACACAGGCCTCCCTGCGGATATGGTGTGCAGCCACAAATG